TATTTTCTGCTTTATATCTGACTTAGTATAAATCTGGAAAGTCTTCCTTTCTAAAGGGAGCGATGCCCAAATTTCTACTAATTCAGAGAGTTAGATAAAATTTGACTTTCCAGACTTAGAGATTATTTCGACATTCATATTTGAGCTTATATAAATTCTGAAAAAACACTTTTCCTACGGAAAGTGCTGCCGAAATTTTCTTAGTTTAAAGGAGATACTCTATATTTTGACAGGTGGCAATTCAGACAATCCACCAAGAATAGGGGAGATTCTGTAGTTGGTCTACCTTTAGCTTAAGCATTTGGTTTAAAAGTAGACTTAAGTTTAGCTTATAGGGAGATTTTGAGTGAGGATGTATTGTGGAGTTATATTCTCCATACACTTATGATCTTAGCTTGGGGATTGGTCTATCATGTGTTTCAGGTCCTTTTGATCATTTGATCCAAGTTCAGGGCTAGATCCAGCTTGTTTTCTTGAGGATCACTTACTTTTATCACGGATAACAGGTCAGTTGCCGATTCGTCGGTCTACGACTCAATTTCAACTCTCCCTCCACACTCAACCTAAAAGGCTTTAGCCCTGGTGATCTCGTTGTTTTATTAAGGTTTCACCCGGACTTTTATCGAATGACCATTTAACAAAGGTGCCGAGTATTTAATTAAGGTTGGTTGGACAGGAGGTTTTTGGGGCTTGCATGGCTAAAGCGAGGGGTATGAGTGTCGAAGGTGGTTGGGGTTGACTCCGTGTAGTGTGTGGGCTGTTGATTTGGTTCGTTGATGTGATTGCAGGTATTTGCTGTGAATCAGATTCTGGATTTGGTTGCCTGCGATCACACATATACGTATTATTGTGAGAGACCCCAGTGAGACCGTGAAAAAGTGATCGTCACATAACCCTTATATATGTATACATAGGTATACTTGGGATGAATGTTTGCATGGGTTGAAGAGTCCCATACTCAAAATCCTATTCAGAAGCCGAGGCCGAGGGACTTCGAGGAAACCTCTCCTTCTATTTTTGGTTTCTTGCTTTCTGATGATTTTCTTAGTCGGACGTTTGGTCCCGGACCGGGATTCGAGATCCTTGTCCAGGACACCCCAAGTCCTAGGCTCTACAGGGCAGGGGTTTTCCCTCGCGCAGAGCCTATTTGATTTGCCTACCGAGACACTCAGGCCGAGAGCCGGAGGTGCCGCGGCGGCTGCACGGCTATTCCTTCAGCCGTGCAATGTCGTGAAGGGTTAGGCCCTCACGACACTTCGGGTCTGACACTCGAGTGTCATAAGCGGTACTCGGATCCACGAGGGACCGCTTAACTATGGGTACTACATAGTACGCCATCATCGCGACTGCATGCGTACGTCTGCATTGCGGGTTGGTATGAGGTAGGCCCTCGGCTGCGCAACTTTATAGTAAAATCCCGCGCGTGATATTACCGCCCTGGTGTGTAAAAAGTTATGGGATTACAAAGAGACCGACACATATTGGCAAATGTTAAAGATTGTTATAGGCTGTTGACGCCGCGCGAAAAAGGGAGGGTACCCCAGGGCTATGATTTTGTTTACTAGGCAGGGAACCCTCGGCCCATTCCTTATCTTTTGTTCTTTGGAGTTTTTATAGTTGAACGTTATAGTCCGTGGCAGCCGTCAAAGTCAAMCCCCTTGATGTTTGACCGCCACGACAGCTTAAAGCTGTCTACTCAACCCCTCTGCACAGGATGCAGAAGAGGGTGTGGTCTTCAACCGCTCATGGCGGTTGTCCAGCGTCGAGAGATTAACCCTCAACGCGCGTGTCAGCCGAAACTTGAGTGTCAAACGCGGCCCTCGCGATTAACGAGGACCTCGTGAGAATGGGTACCACGTAGTACGCCTTCATTGCGACTGCTTGCGTACAATTGCATTGCGAGTCGATATGCGATAGCCCTGCGTCCGCGCGGTTTTATACTTAGTCTCGCGCGCGACGCCTAGTCGATTTCCGCATTGGAAAGTTATGGGTTGGCTACCAAGGGGCTAGGAGCGTTGTCGCGTTGTTTGTGTTATGTCGTTTCGTATATGTGTTGTTTTGTGTGTATGTGTATTCATAAAGTGGAGTGTGTGTGGTGTGTAGGATGCGTCCCAGTCGACCGATGACGGGTAACGCTTGGGACCTCAGCCCCCCAAGATGCCGATTCGCGTGCGGGTCCGATAAAGGCATATTACCGCGCGTACCCCCTATGCTACAGCGAACGAGAAACGCCCTCGGCTGGTCCACCTCTGCGATTGCAACTGATTAGCTTTCGTACTGTGGGCTGGTAGCTCGGCGGGGATACGCCCACCGAAGGGAGGTGACAACTCCCGTAAGGTATAGGAAAGTCGTGCCTCGCGTAGGCCCTATCCTGTCGTAGGGGCTCGCGAGAGGTATGGCTGCCACACTCGGCCGGAGCGGCTTAAGGAAGCTCCGTATATATTGCGACGAAGATTTTAAACCAACTCCTGCGTGACGCGGCCGCGAGGGTCCCGCGCTGCCCTGGTGCGGTGCCGGACCGATGCGCTCGACAGCGCTCACAAGTTCCATCGCACCCACAGGAAAACTTCACAGCACCGCCGCCCATGCGGCAGCCAGTCCCCTCGCCACGATTCATTTTGGGCGAACTCTGACGTGGACAATCCTCGCGACGATTGCAGTCTCGAAATCTGAGCTAAATGAGCGCACAATGACCTCGTGGAACGATCAGCTCTTGATCCACGCCGATCACATTTCGAGTCCCAGAGCAGCTTAGGGAGGCGTTCTCGGGATTGCAGCGGGAGTGAGAGAGTGTTGTTCGTGCCACTTGTTCCGGATGGAGTTCGGATTCATCCGATCTCGGGATGAAGGCAATAGTAGATGTCATTTGCGATGCCAGTGGTTGGATGACTATGCCCCCCTTACATGCGACCCATTGTTTTCACGCAACGTTCCCCCATCGAGAGTTTTGAGGCGACCCCCTGTCCATGACAACCCGCCACTCATGACTTCCGTCGGTGTTCTTTGTCTCCCACGAGGGGTTATGCAATTCTCAGGCTGGACGTTTTTTGTTTCGCCTCACTACGGAACGTGTGATGTAGTTCAGATGAATCCGAACCACAACCCTCGGCTCGTGGGAAGTCTCAACGGGAACCGCATCCCTCTAATATCTCAGTGGAAGGGACAACGACGGCACAGGGGATCGCTTTCGAAGTAAACATCTCCAAGTATCATGACTCCGATAGCTCCCCATCTGCTTTTGCCTTCGTTTGTAGCTCGGATGAATCCGAACCACAACCATAGACGACTTACGAGCGACAGTTGTGGCTTTTGTCAGTGTTTATTTATTCCGCATTGGGTTGTGCAATACTCACACAGGATTTATAAGTTCCGCGTCACTCCTAAACGTGTGATATAGCTCAGATCAATCCGAAACACATCCCTCATCGCATTGGGATTCACGAGGTGAGTATCACGCCCAAATACGGAAGGTCTCATCAGGAAAGCAAAATCGGCGGCACATGCCACGCATCCTGAATGCAACATACAATAACCGATGGTGGGCACACATGTGCATTAATCGAAGCCACGGATGGTCGCACGACAACCCATTTAATCTGCTTTTGCCTTCGTTTGTAGCTCAGATGAATCTCAACCACAACCACAGACGACTGACGGACGGCAGTCGTGGCTTTTGTCATTGTTTATTTATTCCGCATTGGGTTGTGCAATACTCACACAGGACTTATAAGTTTCGCGTCACTCCTAAACGTGTGATATAGCTCGGATCAATCCGAACCACATCCCTCATCGCATCGGGAGTCCCGAGGTGAGYRTCACGCCCARTGACGGAAKGTCTCATCGGGAAAGGAAARCGGCGGCACACGCCACGCATCCTGAATGCAACATACARTAACCGATGGTGGGCACTCATGTGCATTAATYCGAGCCACGGATGGTYGCACGRCAACCSATTTAATGTCTATCTTTCCGGGGCGGTTGCTCGGATTGATCCGAACCACGGATTGGTAGGCTTGGATGAGCTTCTGTCTAGGACTTCTGTTGGCGGGTGGCTCGGATTGATCCGAACCTCSGATCCGGGGCGGTGCGGTAGGCTTGGATGAGCTTCTATCTTGCACTTCTGTTCAGCTCGTATTCAGAATGACCGTGGTAGGTAGAGTGTCTGCTTTCATGACTCTGCGAAAAGTACTTGTCATGTCGACTGTGTGAAAATGTCTTCTGTAGATGACGCTGTGTAATGTGGCTATCCGGCGTCGGTGTGTTGTTTCGTTCGACGAGGGTCGTCCGACTGTTCTGTCTGTCTCAATGTGCTTTACGGCGTGGGTTTTGATAATTTTAGAAAATCCCGCCTCTCCTCTAGAACGGGTCCCTGCGTGACTTTTAGAAAACCCTCCATTGGCTTGGTGAACTTCTGATTGGTGACCTTCTGCAAGAGCTTTGCAATGCGACGTGGTAATATCTTTTTTTTGGACGATTTCCGATTGACGGCCTTCTGTAAGGGCTTCGCCGACAAAAAAATGTACGTCGTTACAGCTGGGTGTGGGCCTCGTCGGGGAAATTATCGTTCACCAACATTGTTTACGACGGTCTCCTCTTCCGTATGTCTATCCATATATTCGTGTTGTGTAGGGAGTTGAATGTCGTCGAGTCCTTCGACAAGCATCGCCATGACACCCGAGAAGCACATGCGCTTAGCGAAACCCTTTCCACCTTGTGCGAGATCGTTGCGGCATCATGACAGTCAAACGTGGATCGACGATGCACCCAAGGACGACTTCGAGGACGACCCATGGACGACCGCCGTCCCTTACATGAACCGGCATCTCGACGAATGGAACGAAAATGACAGGAAGGCGATAGAGCGTTCCTGCCCATGGGCAAGCCATAACATGTTTGCCGACATGTTGGAGTTCGGGAGCCTCATTGCACTGCCTGCTGGTGTCCTCCATCGAAAGACCCTGGACGATAAGGGTACACCGGTCCGCTTCCGTACCAGCTTCAGACGTCGCCTCCACTGCGAGTATATCACATCTTCGCCACGAACTTGGGGGAGTTCGCAGAAGCAAGAGTTGGTGGACTGCGCTCGTCATTGTTCATTCTTGGAACACTACCCATCCCGTTGCGCAGGGACTTCTCCACAAGCTCTGTCGTACTGTTGTGTGCGGTTGACGGATGACAAGTGTCCTTTCGCCAGAGTGTTATGTGTGGCTTCTTCAAGCAAAAGCAGGAAACTTGTGGATGCAGTTGTGCTTGTGTCACGCAACGAGATGGTTCTTCAGGGATCCAGGTTCAAGGCAGTCATGTTTCGCCCAGATGTAGATGGGCGGTCAGACTTGGTGAGAACATGTCAAGTAAGAGTTTTTTTGACATTGTGGGATGATGTGGAAAAGAAAGTGTCTGAAATGCGTGACTGTATAGGGAATTCCTTAGCACGTTGAGGAGGGTTTGTCGGGATGAAATACATGTCCATGTTTTCGGAGAAGGCAACAATCGACGAGCCGCAAATCCATGTGTATGGATCATCTATGAATGCTATGTATGGCTTCCGTTCACGACCTCGTCCACGGGAAACCACGTATGTCACAAGATACGGACTTGTGGTAAGACCTTGTGTTTAAGGGAAAAGGAAACTCCCTCATGAGGACTAAAGTTGACACCGGCGTTGTTGCATTTGAACTAGCACTGCAGACTTGCGAAGGTGACGTTCTATAAGTGTTTCGGATTCATCCGAATCATCAATCAGATACACACGGGTGCACCCAATGTTGAAGGCGATGCGTGAAGGCTTCCCCAAGGACGATCCTTGGCCAAACAACAACCCGTCAGATTCTGTATGTGAGACTCGATAACTGCAGACCATCGAGTTTATGTTCTTGCATGCCTTCGAGGCAAACAACGCTTTCAAACAGTCCGCCACCCTCTAGATCGTCTGGTACTGCCATGAAATGTGGTGACCGTGTCCATGGCCCTCTATGCAACAGCCGCTGCATGGCAGAAAATGACGTGAGCAGCGACGGCCGAGGCAACAATCATGCATGTCCACCAGAGCATCTTGTGTCTCGGATTCATCCGAAATTGCCGGCTGCACAACCGTTTTCATTCTCATCCGCGCAGAAATCGTCTGTTTCCCTGGACACTCGCGGAAAGAAACTCCTCTTTGCGTCAATACGCTGCATATGGGCCGATGATAAGCAGCCGCGCAGAATGCATAGCACGTCCCAATTGCGAAATCGTCGGGTCTTTTTCTCGCGACGGCGAAGGCTCGTGATCATCCCCGGCGACGCCGACAATGGTTTTTGGATTGGATGCCATGAAATGTGGTGCCATGTCCGTAGCCCTCTGTGCGACAGCCGCTGCCAGGCCGAAAGTGACTGAGCGACGCTGGCCGACGCTGCCATCGACCTTGTCTGGCATGTCATCTTGTGTCTCGGATCCATCCGAAGTTTCAGGCCGCTCGAGCTTGTTCCTTCTCGTCCCCGAATGTTGAACACCTGCACAGAACACAAAAAAACTTCCCGATTGGAACATCGCGGGGTCATCGCGTTGTCAACTCCCACATGATGATTACCGTGAACAGCGGCATGATGGCAGGTCCGCCTCTCCGATGTGGGTCTAACGGTGGATTGCGTCAAATCTGCTCTCAAAGATCCACACCGCAGAGGGGGCCCAGCAATCGACCACTGCTTGCCTGTAAAACATCATATGATGTGTCGATACAACCGACATTCAGAACTGGTCGGTGAGAATCTGGTGCTACGCCAAAAAGTTCGTCATGGGGCCGCAATATTCCCCCGCAATTGCTCAATTTGGGGTTCTCGCATCATAGACTCCCTTATGATGACTACAGTAAACAGAGGCGGGGTAGCAGGTCCCCTTCTCCGATATGGATCTCACGGTGGAGTGCGAAACTCTGCTCTCAAAGATCCAGACCGGGAAAGGGGGCCAGCTATCAACCACTGTTTGCTTGTAAAACATCATATGATGTGTCGACACAACCGACATTCAGAACTGGACGGTGAGCATCTGGTGCTACGCCAAAAAGTTCGTCACACAGCCGCGATATTCCCCCGCAATTGCTCATTTTCGGGTTCTCGCGTCATAGACTCCCTTCTGATGACTACAGCTAACAGCGGCAGGGTAGCAGGTCCCCTTCTCTGATATGGATCTCACGGTGGAGTGCGAAACTCTGCTCTCAAAGATCCAGACCGGGAAAGGGGGTCAGCTATCAACCACTGCTTGCTTGTAAAACATCATATGATGTGTCGATACAACCGACATTCGGAACGGGTCGGTGAGCATCTGGTGCTACGCCAAAAAGTTCGTCATGCGGCCGCAATATTCCTCCGCAATTGCTCATTTTCGGGTTCCCGCGTCATAGACTCCCTTATGATGACTAAAGTTAACAGCGGCAGGGTAGCAGGTCCCCTTCTCTAATATGGATCTCACGGTGGAGTGCGAAACTCTGCTCTCAAAGATCCAGACCGAGAAAGGGGGCCAGCTATCAACCACTGCTTGATCGTAAGGCATCATATGATTTGTCCATTACATCGGCATTCGAAACTGTTTGGTGAGCATATGGTGCTACGCCAACAATTTCCGAACAAGACCGTGAGGTTCCCTAAGAGTGCTTTGCCACCCCACAGCACAGACTGCCGACTGTTTGGCACTGCGGGAAGGTTGTCAATTTTTTACGACGCGGAAGACTCGTGATCACTTTCATCGTCTATATGCGTGTTGATGGTGCTTGGCATTGCATACTTGACGCACTGGTGGTGTATGCTGCAATTGTCTAAATCTCACGGGATTTAAGTGTCTCGGATGCATCCGACATAAGAACCTGTGAGGATGCGGACTTGCCAATATTTACCTGCATCATTGTATCGAATTCATTTGAGTCTAAAATCAGTTACATATTTGCGCACCCGCAATTTCTGCAGCGTGTCTGATCCGTGACGGGCAAGGCTTGTAGTCTGATTGAAGGCTGGTTGTGCACGTCTAATGTCAAGTCCGATATTTGCCTGCGTCGTTGCGTCGGATTCATCCGACTCTAAAGTATGTTACATACTTGCGGAACCGCCATTTCTACACCATACATGTGAAATCGGTGAGGGTGAAGGTTTGTCGTCCGATTCAAGGCTGGCTATGCATTATCTTTTTGTTTCGTTGTGCTGCCCTCTTTAGTGCTCCCAAACTGGCGGACGCATCTCTGTCGCTTTATCATTGCCAAAGTCCAACAATTGTCTCGGCTGCGATTTGGGTCAACGTCTGTTGCTCTGCTCGCAGGGAAAAGTGGAATGCTTCACTGGTGTGACACGACGACGGTCGATCAAGACTTCCCTCCCACGCCAGCTTGCCTTCCGTTACGTTTTCGGCAGGAATTGGTTGGTAAGGGATTGGTTATGGGCATTGGAGTTCCGAGCAGTGCCGATAATACTTCTTCCCGACTCGAGCCATGTGATTCCTCTGGAAAACGGTCACGTGACTCAAACACTCGGCATCGACGGAAGAGAACACTGTTGTCCACCTCCACCGCGCATTCATACATCTGTTGTGACGTGCTTGAAGACCACAAAACATTGGAAGCGGGGGCCAATTTCTTAGTGTCACTTGTATATCCAGAGTCTCTTCAGCATGTTCTGAAATGACCGACGCTGGGATGTCAAGCTCCATACCCGAGGGGAATCTCGGTGACTGTAGTTATAGTGGGACGGAGTACGTGTATAGTGCGAACAACTGCACTATTGATGGTTCTTCCTTGGGAGTTGCCGATGGGGGTGATAGGGTTTCCTCGTCTACCCCTCCGCAGTGCCAAGAGAGTCAAGGACCGTCCATGGATGAAATCACTGAATACTGCTATTCACGAGACAGTCAGAGCTCGCGCTGCCTCTCCGAAGAGGACCGCCACATACGGTACATTTTGTCGGCGCCTATGCCTGGTGAAAAAAAACCCTATTCTATGGCAAACAGAGAACCGGCCAAAAAGACACAGCATCGGCGAGCTATGGGCAAACTGAGGATGCATTCACTTCAGGCAGTGTGAGGGATGCTCTCTTGTAGGCGGATGTGTTGCGCTGAACTGACAGCCGAAGATGTAAGGCCAGTGTCGGAGGCATTCTACTCGAAAAGTTTCGCGGAAAGGACGAAGTGGTGGTTGCGAACCATACATGACTTCACGGTTATGGAAGGTGGTGTTGAGCGGGTCAGGCCTGTAGCTTGCAAACGGAAGATGTGAATGCACGCGTACTGTACCATTCTCGACATTTCTCGTAACACATTCTATGTCTACAAAAGAATGTACGATAACGGTGTTGTCGTTAGGGAGCATGGACACTCGGGCTTGTCTAAACCATCCGAAAAAGTCGTCACGATGCTTGCACTGTTGAAATGATTCATCGACGACCACGCCGATAGTATGCCGAATGACATGGTCTGGAAAAATGGAGTTTGTCGTCCTGGCCGTAGGATTCTTGCGGCATTCACAAAACGAGCAATTTACGAATCATTGCGCTCTTATCTTTTGATATGTCACTCGGAAGTTGTGTCGGAGTCGACTTTCTACGCTATGTGGAGTAAGCACTTCTGGCACGTGAGTCTAGCTATGTCCAACAAATTCACGAAGTGCGCAAAATATATATTCTACAAGTAGTGCATTGCCAAGTCGAAGTACGAGAGGGACCGTAAGAAATCCAAAGATAGGATGCGGAAATATCAAGAGCTGCAAGTCAACCACAGGCTAGACTATAGCCGCTGCAAAATGAATTCCATCTTGCGGCAGTCCGAGTGTCTGTGCATCATTATCGACGGCATGGATAAAAAAAAAACTACCATACCGCATATACGACAGGCGAACTACTCGAAGGACTTGCACCACGAGAGGATGGTGAAGACTGGTCGTACGGCCGTTCTGGTCCATGGTCGGGATCTGTCTATATATGTTTACACATATTTTCCTTACTACACACACGGCCCCAGCAGTACGGCGACGTGTTTAATGCGGACTCTTACAGAGATCCAATCCAGTGGAAAACCTCTACCGCCGTTTCTTGGTATTCAAGCTGACAACTGCTTCAAAGAAAATAAGAATAGATTCATCTGCCCATTGGCAGCACTTCTTGTGAAGTTCGGGATTTTCAAGGAAATACAAATTGGTTTTATAATAGTTGGACACACGCACACAGACGTTGATGCCACGTTTAGTGTTTTCTCCAAGAAACTCAAGGACAATGATGCCTACACAATGGATGAGTTGTTCCTTTTGCTAGAGCGGTCTCATAAGACTCCTCCACGGTGTATTTTTCTTGATAGGATAGCAGACTGGAGAGGTTTTATTTACCCG